AGCCGAGCCGTGCCGTACTGAGCCGTGCCGAGCCGAGTCGTACCAGTCGTCGCAGTGGAAAAGCGCCATTTGCTGGAGGCAAAAGCTTGCGTTCAAAATATTTTAGTGATGCTTGCTAATATGTTGTGTTAAATCATCAGAGAGCCAGTTAACAATATTGAAAAGTGATATTTTTATAGCATAATCCAAATATACAACAGAAAAACAAAATAAGAAACACAGGGAGAAGAAGGGGAGGGAGTTGTTTATGGGGAAGTCGTGGCCTAATGGTTAGGGATGTGTTCACGGTGTGTGCGTGTTCACTGCTGTGTGTGTGCACTTTGCATGGGTTAAATGCAGAGCACTAATTCCAAGTATGGGTCACCAAACTTGGCCACATGTCACTTCACTTTCACTTTATGTTCATTTCTGTTTTCACAATTTTCAGTTAAAAACTTATCAGTGACATAAGGCTTTCTGGACCTTATACATTATATTTCATTGGGCTCCCTTGGCCCCACTGATATTTTATGTGTTTTCCCATCTATTTTTAATTTAAACTTCAATTTGTTAAATTATGTTACTTTTAGTATGAGATGTATTTGCATGTTTGTTTCGCATCTCTGAATTTGTGGAGGTTCTGGTTTGAGCCGTGCCTTTGTGATTTCCTTTGAGTCCATCATTCTGAAAGTATATTGTTCTGCTATTTCTTAATAATTGATTTAACAAGAATAATATTCTCAGGGCATATGATTACATTTATTTGTGTAATGACTTCATCCCTGTTGTTTTCATAACATTCATAAAATATGAGTATGATGGTGCTTATTTTCACCACAGTTACACCTTAGACTAGGTTTTGTGGATGGAGAAATAATTACTTTCAGTGCTTTAGACTAATTTATTCGTGGATATTAGACACATGATTAATTTCAGGATCTGTTTTACGTAAAAGCTTACAATTAAAGTGTTAATCATGCCATGTGTTAATATATTGTCTATTACATCAGCAGTGGTTCACTTAGCTATTTTAATGCTAATATGCTGAAAGACATGGGTCAGTGCCCAAGTGCACATTCTCAATGTTTTTTTTTGTTTTGTTTTGTTTTGTTTTGTTTTTTTATCCCAATACTTAAAGGAGACATATTATGCCCCTTTTTACAACATGTAAAATATTATAATGAGATCCCTTTGCAACGTCACCAAGGGAGCGAAATCAGACGCGCTCGTTTTCTCAGACGCTCGCAGAAAAAGGCTTACCAAAACAAAGTTACTGGGTTAATCTTTTTCACGTTTCCTTGGTTGGTAGATGCACCGGGGACCTGATTATAGCACTTAAAACCTGGAAAAGTCAGATTTTCATGATATGTCACCTTTAAAATATTTTCTATAATACCCCACTGTCCTGGGCCTGAAAAGCAAACAGCAAATGACTGGGTGGAAAAATGACAAATGTGAATGCAAAATGATTAACTGCTCTTTGATCTAATTGGCCTTTCTCTTTCTCTCTGTGTTTGTGGTCATACAGCAAGCATGAATGAAGCAGAGGTGGACAGTACTGGAGATGGTAAGTGTGTTGTCATGCTTGTTGACTCTCTGTCATGTATTCAGCTCACCAAAAAAAGATTCACCCGTTTAATGCCATCATCAGCCCTCACAGTACTCCGCTGTGGTTTGCTGTAGTGGGCTGATGGATGGTGTTGGTGTTGTGGAACAGTTGGTGTCCCCTGCTGGCGGTCCCACTCAGATTACATGCCTCTCTTATAGTTTAAGATAACTTAATAAATCTCACTTTTTTTGGGTGAGTTGTGCGATGCAGATGAAGTATTTACTTTTGCTCTTTTTTTTTAGTTTATTGTTTTTAAGTTGTTTGTTGACAACATGAAATTAGTGACTTAGATGAGCAGTCCTAACCGTGCAATGTGAATAGGCAGGATGCTAACAGGGAGGATTTTAATTATTTAATGGGAGACTGTCATTTTTCCTCTGCAGTGTTCTCATTTCCTGCTGTCCCTAATGAGGAGAATCTGCTTGGAGTGAATAAGCCACTGCCCAAACAGTTATGGGAGGCCAAAAAGGTGAGTACATGTGGGCTAGGGATGTTAAATGCAAAATTTAAAAAGTCTTTTTGCAGTATCTGTAGTACTGAGTTAACAACACAATTTGGTTGTGACCAAAGAAATGTATAAAGGCAGCCTAATAGACCTCTTACTTGCCATTGTTACTAACTAAATAAAGACCTGTGTTCAATAGCATGTTAGTTTTTGATTTGACTATGTTTGTGTACTGAAATGAAGTTTAAATCTTTTGGTTGCATTATGTATTGTATTTGAAGTTACATTTATTTGTTCACTTTTTACCCAGTAATCTCACTGATAATGTTTTGCTTGTATTTATTAGTCTGTTCAATGCGTTGTGCTTCTAAATTTGTCCCATAAGCCAATATACAGTATTATGCCTGCCATTTATTCAGTCATTGCCTAACTTTGATCTAGTCAAGTTGGTAACTTTGATCTAGTTGAGGAAGTAATAATATTAAAAGTCAGCATGTAAAAGAATTTGCGATTATTTTTCTTCCCTATTGTAACATATATTCAAGTACAAAATCTTCTCGACCAAGTAAAATATGTAGGTTGGAATTTTATTGTCCATCAGGAATTGATTGGATCATTGTCGTTGGTTAATTACTGCAGTCATTTTGTGTGAGTGATTGAAGCTTGGATACGTTATTACTCAGCCCTTGCGTCAGTATACACGTCATCAGAGAAGAGATGTGATTGTAAGGAGAGAGGCATGTTAATGTTTTAACAGGGTACTTTTTTTTCTTTCTCTTTGATAAACTAATGTTGTGTGCGGATACTGCAACATTCCATAAACACATAGGAATTGTCAGTTTTGATTTCATGGTGACTTTAAAAGAATCTTTGTGCTGTTGATTACAGAAAAAAGTTTTATTGATTTAAGTATGATGCCATTTTGTCTTACTAGCTAGAGTACTAATTGATTGTCTGTAGATAGCAGGCTGTTAAATTAATCTCTGCAAGTGTGGATGTGTAATACACATGTTGCCTGGTTGCAGGTGCAGTCTCTGTCCTCCCGGCCAAAGTCCTGTGAAGTGCCTGGAATCAAGTAAGTCAAGAGAAATTTGTGTGTGAGTGTGCATGTTTATTGGTTGCTTACTAAATATTTGCTGTACATTTAACATTGTCCCTCTCTGTTTCTCTGCAGTATATTCCCATCTCCAGAGCAGAACGCGGGTTTGTCTCACTACCAGGGCACGCTAAACACTGGCGGGTCTCTTCCTGACCTCAGTAACCTGCACTTCCCCTCTCCGCTGCCCACTCCGCTGGACCCTGACGAGGCTGGATATCCCAACCTGAGCGGAGGCAGCAGCACCGGCAACCTTCCCGCAGCCATGATGCATCTGGGCATTGGAAACTCACAAGGTCAGTGGGTTTACTATATGGATCATAAACAGACACATTAATACTTGTACTGGTTTTCACACATGCATAATCTCATTCACGCACAGTCTAAGACTAAAAAGAGCTTTTGTTTGGGACCAAATCGATATTCAAGGAGGCTCGTTTGCTGTTAAAGCATCTCCTGGCTTCAGAAGAGCCTGGCTGAACACTCCGGTCTTTGTTTAACGGCACACTGTAGGCTTACACTGTAGGCGCTTTCTGGGGAATGAATGCCATGTGTTTTCTAAAGGGCCACATCCATGCAGAAGACCACAGCTCTCCTCCTCTCTATTCCCCCCTTTTTAAATCCATCCGCCATCTGATCGCTCTCTTTGACTTCCATTCTCTTGAGCTTTATTCTTTCCATTCGCTCTCATGTCTGGGAACAGGGTGTGCTGGGATGTTTCTGCTGCCCGTTTCAGCTGTGCTGCTAGCTGATTGGCCGATCCCCAGAGACACAGCTGACCTTTAACCCCTGAATTGGCTGCTCATAAACAGCTCTTTTCTCTTTCGCTCTCGCTGGTCCAGTAACCTGCAGACAATTGCTCAGTGTCTTTTCTGAGGAGTGGACATCAGGACAGGAGCCGGCCTGCACGCAGTGACTCATAAAGCCATTATTGGTTTGTCTCGGTTTCATTAAGGCGGTTCAAGAAGTACTTTTGACCCCTGGAGCTGATTATGTCATGTTTGTTGTCCTCTTAGGGCTGTCATCCTCTATAAGCAACCTACTAATTGATTGTCTGTAGATAGCAGTTCGCAAAATGTATCTCCGTGAATGTGGATATATAATGCAGATGTTGCCTGGTTGCAGGTGCAGTCTCTGTCCTCCCGGCCAAAGTCCTGTGAAGTGCCTGGAATCAAGTAAGTCAAGAGAAATTTGTGTGTGAGTGTGCATGTTTATTGGTTGCTTACTAAATATTTGCTGTACATTTAACATTGTCCCTCTCTGTTTCTCTGCAGTATATTCCCATCTCCAGAGCAGAACGCGGGTTTGTCTCACTACCAGGGCACGCTAAACACTGGCGGGTCTCTTCCTGACCTCAGTAACCTGCACTTCCCCTCTCCGCTGCCCACTCCGCTGGACCCTGACGAGGCTGGATATCCCAACCTGAGCGGAGGCAGCAGCACCGGCAACCTTCCCGCAGCCATGATGCATCTGGGCATTGGAAACTCACAAGGTCAGTGGGTTTACTATATGGATCATAAACAGACACATTAATACTTGTACTGGTTTTCACACATGCATAATCTCATTCACGCACAGTCTAAGACTAAAAAGAGCTTTTGTTTGGGACCAAATCGATATTCAAGGAGGCTCGTTTGCTGTTAAAGCATCTCCTGGCTTCAGAAGAGCCTGGCTGAACACTCCGGTCTTTGTTTAACGGCACACTGTAGGCTTACACTGTAGGCGCTTTCTGGGGAATGAATGCCATGTGTTTTCTAAAGGGCCACATCCATGCAGAAGACCACAGCTCTCCTCCTCTCTATTCCCCCCTTTTTAAATCCATCCGCCATCTGATCGCTCTCTTTGACTTCCATTCTCTTGAGCTTTATTCTTTCCATTCGCTCTCATGTCTGGGAACAGGGTGTGCTGGGATGTTTCTGCTGCCCGTTTCAGCTGTGCTGCTAGCTGATTGGCCGATCCCCAGAGACACAGCTGACCTTTAACCCCTGAATTGGCTGCTCATAAACAGCTCTTTTCTCTTTCGCTCTCGCTGGTCCAGTAACCTGCAGACAATTGCTCAGTGTCTTTTCTGAGGAGTGGACATCAGGACAGGAGCCGGCCTGCACGCAGTGACTCATAAAGCCATTATTGGTTTGTCTCGGTTTCATTAAGGCGGTTCAAGAAGTACTTTTGACCCCTGGAGCTGATTATGTCATGTTTGTTGTCCTCTTAGGGCTGTCATCCTCTATAAGCAACCCTTCCATCCAGGCATCCCTCACCAACTCTCAGCTGCACTCATCTCTCAGCAATCCATCAATCCACACGTCTCTGCGTCTCTCCTCGCTGTCCAACCCTCCTCCGACAGGCATGGCGAGTTCACCCAGGAGACGGCCGGCCCCCATTAGTCCCCTGACACTCTCTCCAGGGGGCGATCAGAGGCGAAGCCTGGGCAAGCAGCTCTCCCCGACAATGTCGCCCTCTCTGTCCCCGATCACACAGGTGAGAAAAGTATTCATTAAATCTCCTCATCCAGCATCTCACGTTCTCTGGTGGTATCTTCCTCATCCAGAACATAACTAGCTGCTTGTATTAAACTGCTTACAGGGCTCTAGTGTCTAATGTTGTTAGACTTTTCAGGACTGCAAATAAAAAAAATAAAAAAATGTAATTATGCACTACCATTTTCTGCTGTGAATGCTGAAAGGCAAACACTCAAATGTGTGTTGATACATCACTAGTGATTGAACCACACAGCACAGACCAATTATATACATGGCGTGAGAGAATAGGAAAGGGTTGTTTACTCTGAGTCTTTGGATAGTGCCCTGCATATCATTTTTGACCCTGCAATGGTTTGTAACAGATTTCTGTGTTGAGTTCAAATGTGGCACAACCATTTGAATTCAACACTAAATTCTCTGCTACAAATGGTGGAAATGCCAAATGGTTAAAACCTTAAGGTAATAGTTCAAATGACATTTTATTCTCACTGTCATAAAAAACAGTAATACAAAATATTGTGAAATGCTATTACAATTAAAAATAAGTTTTCTCTTTTTTTAATGTATATAAAATGCAGTTTATTCCTGTAATGACTAAGCTGAATTTTCAGCAGCCTTTACTCCAGTCATTCTAATATTCTAATGTAAAACATTCTAATATGCTGATTTTGTGCGCAAGAAACATTTCTTATTCTGAAACATTTTAAACTTTTGAATGGTGGTGTATGAGCAATTGAAGTTTAGACCCTGTAGTTAATTTAATTCAATTCAATTCAATTCAAGTTTATTTGTACAGCGCTTTTCACGATACAAATCATTGCAAAGCAACTTTACAGCAAATTAAGTTTCTACAATATTTAGTGGTCGCTTATCAGTGGTGACTGTCAGCCGTAGCCAGTGCAGAGACTGTAAAATTGGGGTAATATGATCATATTTTCTTGACCTGGTAAGGACTCTAGCCGCTGCATTTTGGACTACCTGTAGCTTGTTTATTGAAGATGCAGGACAACCACCTAGCAGTGCATTACAATAGTCCAGTCTAGAGGTCATGAATGCATGAACTAGCTTTTCTGCATCAGAAACAGGTAACATGTTTCGTAGCTTGGCAATGTTTCTAAGATGTAAGAATGCTATTTTTGCAACATGGGAAATAGGATTTTCAAAAGACAAGTTGCTGTCTAATATAACACCCAGGTTTTTGACTGTAGAGGAAGTAACAGTACATACGTCTAGTTGCAAATTGTAATCTAAGAGATTCTGTGTACTGTCTTTTGGTCCAATAAGTAATATCTCTGTCTTATCCGAATTTAATAGGAGAAAAGCTCCCAGTCAAATTATTTTTATAACTTTCCCGTTCTCTTCAGGGGGTTGCATTGGACACCAGCAACTTGCCGATGGAGCCGCCCCCTCCCTACCCCCTTTACCAGCAAGCCCAGCAGCCCCTGCAGCAGCAGCCTCCTCCTCAGTCCCATCCGTCTATGCAGCAGAGCTCCCAGCATCCAGGGGTGCAGCAACGAGCAACAGGTGGCCAACAGCAGCAACAACAGCACCAGCCTGTGTCCCCGCTGCAGAACGTCCCACTCGACTTTAATTCCAGCGCTGTGAGTTCCCTTTGTAACATTAGTAGAAGCAGGCATCTGAGGGGAAAGACACTGTTACAGATGCTGGTTATTCTTGGCTGAACATAAAAACGCTGAATCTTGTTTTTGCTCACAGCACAGCAGCATGGGAGCATTTTTCAACGATCCCTTTATGGAGCAGCAGTTTTCTGGACGTCAGTCCAAGTGTTCGTCCTATCAGGTAAATATAGCATATCTTGAAGTACACTCGGATTCCCAAGTTGATCATGTTTTGTAACGAATATTTTGTGCGTGTTTAAACAGCAGGATCAGTATAATATGTTGGAGAATGTCATGAGCTCTATGGCAGGAGGATTTGACCCTTCCTCCAACCTCTACTGCTCCCAGACTGCCCTCATGGGCTTAGGTGGCAGTCATGGCAACCTGCAAGACCACCTTCAGATGAGACCCAACATGCTCTACTCTAATTGTGGAGGAGGAGTGCCCAACATCATCCTTACAGGTGCGGAAGATCAGACAGCAGGTCATTGTGAGTCATTATGAGAATTTACCGTTCAGGTTTCATCCTCATGCCCTGCTTTCAAAGCACAAACTCAGATTCTTTATTCATGGACTCATTTTATGTAACTGCCAATAAAATGTAAATTGAAATAACAAGGAAATATCACATTCAAAAATATGCTAGTTGATCTTCACCTAGTCATCCAACAGCTGACTACCGTGTGTTCCAAATTATTATGCAAGGAGGATTTCAGTAAAATAAACATTCATAGAAATTGTTTGTTTTATTTCTCATATATTTTTAGACAACTGATATCAGTCTCAGACAGGTTTGATAAATAGTTTTCCAGGCCTTCTTAGGTAAATGCTGATCCTACTTAAAGAGTTTGTTCCGCATTATTAAGCAAGTCACAGTTCTCATGCAATATGGGGAGGAAGAAAGATCTTTCTGAAGATGAAAAGTAATGAAATAGTGCAACATCTTGCGAAAGGCATGAAAACAACTTATCTTGCAAAAACTGATCAGAGATTATTAAACTGTCAAAATATTTTTGAGTGCAGAAGAGCTTGATCAGATAAAGGTTTATTAAGGAAAGTTTCAGTCAAACAAATTCATTTTATTATAAAGGCAGCTTTAAAAAGCCACTGTTGAGCAGTAAACGGGTGTTTGAAGCTGCTGGTGTCTCTCTATGCTGGCTGGCAGTTGAGCATTGTATTTCAGCCAACCCTAACTCACAAAGCTCAAGCTTTTCATCTTCAGAAATATCTTTCTTCCTCCCCGTATTGCATGAGAACTGTTGTCTTGCTTAATAATGTGCAACAACCTCTTCAAGTAGGTTCATAATTTACCTAAGAAGACCTGGCAAAGTCTCTAACAAACCTGTCTGAGATTGATACCGGTTTGTAACGGGGCGAACGAGACGAGAGGCATGCGTATCCATTTGCAAAGCTTTATTCACAGACATGGTCAGAAACAGGCAGGGTCAAAACACCAGCAAACAGGTATGGCACAGGCGAGACAAAAGAGTAATCCAAGGACAGACGTGATCAATCTTCGGCGAACAATATCCAACAGGGCGAGGCAAACGGGTAATGCAACAGACAGATGACAATCCAGTCGAGGTACAAACGGAGTCCAAATGACAAGACGAGAGAGACAACCAAGACAGGCAGAAGATCAGGAAACAGGCAATAAGGCAACACGACGTGACTAGACTTAGACTAGAACTAGAAACTAGGACAGGGAACTGGCTCCGTAAAGAGCTACCACTAGGAGAGCGATAAACGCAAACAATACTCGGCGGTGAGAAAGAGGAAGTTCGTGGCTTATAAAGTGTGTTGATTGGTTGCAGCTGTGGGCGTAATCAGTGCAATGGATGATGGGAAATGTAGTCCGGGGTGAAGTGCAACAGTTAGTGTGGTGCAAGGGTCCACAGTAATGAGCGGGTGATCTCGGGTGGTGAGCAAACGGAAGAGCAGGCACAGGATCCATGACACAGTTATTTAAAACGATATGAGAAATAAAACAAACAAACAAACAAACACTTTATATGAAAAAATTTAATCTGAATATTTTACTGAAATCCTACTGATATGTCACTTCCAGTGTAGTTTGTCATTTTTTTTTCTAAAGTTTACAATTGAAATGAACCGTTTTCTTTTTTTTATTATTTGTATTTTTCCATGTAATAAATTCCTGTGATGGCAAAGCTGAAATTTCATGTCGCATGACCATTTTGATCATGAACATTTTGGCATCTCAATTTGTTTGTTTTGAGCTTCCCAACACAAGTGTTGCAGTCAAGTAGTATGTTAAGACCTCTATACTGTTTCCATTCCATTGCATGCCATTTTGTGGAACAAAACGACACCTCTTATGCAAATTCCCCAGAAGAAACACATCCAATTGAGGCCACATCAACCAGAACCAGATAGATTATGAAGGGATTCCTTAAGACTGATTAATTGACTAGTCATTTAGAAAAAGAAAAAAAAAACTTTTGCACATCTCTGCTTTCACATTTCCTGGACTCACTCACAATTCTGTTGTTTTTCATTCTGTCTCTCAGATGACTCCAATTCCAGCCTGTCTAAGGACATCAGCAGTGTGTTGTCCACTGTGCCAGAGTGTTTGGACTCAGAAGGAGTTTTTCCACTGGAGGATGAACTACGTATCGAGCCGCTCAGTTTGGATGGACTGAGCATGCTCAGTGACCCCGATATGGTCCTCCCTGACCCCTCAGTAGAGGACAGCTTTCGCAGCGACAGACTTTAAAGAGCCACATCATGCATGTATACATACATACATACAAGTCCATGAACATGATGACTAAAGCACAGAACCTATAGCACTCAGACTTCTATAAACATAAAAAGATCTTTACATTTTCCTAAATGCAAAGCGCATGCATAAACACTACATGTTGACATAAAGTGAATCATCACGCTCGCATGAGTCACCCAGACGCCGTCTCTCAGTGGCCGCCATTGCTCAGCATGCTCCATCTGCCTCCCAAGACATCGTTCATCACTCAGCAGATGTGTGAAGCCAATCTTGACGCTTTACACGTGCTTTGATTTGTAAAGACAATGAAACAAACAAACATGAACCTGCCGTGTATCTACTCCTTGTGCCGAGTGACAATCAGAACACAGAAGCCATAGCAATGCCAAACCGATGACTGGATCGGGCTGTTGCATTGCTGGTCTATTTCAAAGCCATGCAACCAAAACAAAATGAATGTGCTTGTTTTACATATTGCTTTTGGATGTTATTAGAAGGTCACAGCAGCTTTCAGTGACATTTCGATAGCAGCGAAAGGATGGGACGGTCCTGAATGCAGAGACGGTGAGAAGATGACAATATGACGTGTTATGGAACAGAAGGAGTCGACAGCCGGCCTAATACCAGCCCATATTGATGCACCAAATGCTGTGATACGAGACACCAGCAGGATGGGTTGAGCTTTCCCCCTCGCCACGCAACCCAAACTCTTTTTCAGTACCAAGACAGAACATGTTCGGTGTCCTGAACCGTCTGGTTCGGGCTACTGAGTAGCAGACACATTTAAATTAACCAGCAGTCTCTGGTGTCACTGCCTGAAGCTTGGAGCATGCGCTAAGCTAACCGCATAATAATGCTGTGGTTTTCTGACCAATCAGCGATCACTTTGCTGGCACGTAAGTGAGCCAAAGCCACTCGTACACGCTCAGTCCATCCTTCAGAATGTGGCCAGTCCCCCCTTATTCAAATGACAGAATTCAATGAATTACACCTCTCCTCCTGCGCAGTCACGTACTATAAAGAGAGGAGTGTAGATGATGTGTATAGAGCATTATTTTGCATATTTTTTGTATAAAAAGATAAAAGAGAGCTTTGCCACATATATATGCCTCACAATTTTCTGACTAGAATGTATTTTTGAAACAGAAAAAGGGCAAACTGTTTACAAAGATAAAGTTTAAGAACTACGAATTGTGAGTAGGCGCTGAAATTTTTATGATTTTTGGTATAAATCTAAAAGAAAAACCTTTGTATCTCGCTGATATTGATCCAGTCCATAGTTAGCGAATAGAAGCTTTGGCTATGCAGATCTTTAGCACAGGACTGTCTCAGATGGCTGGAATTATCTAGATCATAAAAAGGAACTATTTTACTTGTATATTTACTATATCTTTGTGGTTATTTCAGATTTTATACAGACTTGTAATGCGGCTTCTGATATGTCAGTTGTATTTGTACTTGTAAATCTGTTCATGTTCTCTCCCTTTGAACTTTTGTTGTGGACGTCTTCTTTCGTGAACGTTTGTTGTGATGGTATTTCTCACCGTTGTTCAGCATGGGCCCTCTCTCTGCAGCTCTGATCCTTGTGAGAGGTTTTTACGGAAAAAAAAAAACTTTGGGATTTTAAAACGTCTTTAAGAGGTGTGATCTGTGGACGTGGAACACATGTATCACTGTTATTGCTAATGTTGAAGTTTGCACTGATCTGAACAAAATTTATCTTTTGGTTTTAAGCAGTAGTTTTTATTTTGGTTTATTTTGATGACGCAAATACGTTGTCTTTTCAGCATGTTATGCATGTGAGGACTTTGAAATGAATGCAGTATATTTTGTGAATTACTAGATTCAAATGACCAAATATTTTGAGATGAAGAAAGATATCTAAATATAGCTCAGGAATACATATCGTGAGTGGTTTTATGCCCATCTCTTGCCTCTTGACTGCCAGATCCGGGCAAAATTATGCCAGATTCCCAGAGAAACTGTTATAACCGAGATCCAGAAATCCAAAATGCTCTCTTCTCTGTGTTGTTATCTGTGTAGCTTTCTATTCCACTTCCGGAGGTTGGTAATAGAAAGCAATAACAATGTTATCTGTGTGCCATGTCCACAATTTTGTTTTGTTTTGTTTTTGCCATGTATTTTTGCATTCATCCAGGTCATTTTAGAGTTTTGAGTTCAAAACCATCTTGTTGGTCAAATCAATCAAGTCGCTTTTACTAAAATTCTTCCTCTTTTTGTTGTGCATTGCTCATTGTGGTCCAAGTAGGCGAGAACAGAGGATGATTGACACAAGCAGAGATGTAAGGTGTGGTGACATTAGCGACATTTCATGAGTAAAAAGGTCTATTATCAATGCTGTAGTGATGTATGAAGCACAAAAGTCACTTTTCAAAAGCACAGTGCGGCGAATCTGTGTGACCAACTGCGAAATCTACTTTTGCTGAAAATTCCCAATTGCATAGATTCCTATTGAAATGACTGGATTTAGCCCATGAAAATTAACCAAACAATGTAAATGTGACTGCACCTTTATAAACTTCTATATTTAAGCTTTGATAAATCTGGTCCCCCATGTACAAAAGGCAAAACAAGATTGGGCTTTCACCCCTGCAGCTGCAGTTTCTTTGTTTTGTAACATTGTTGTTCTTTAGGTGTGTTAGCATCTGTTATAAAAGAACATGATGTTTAAGAGTGAAGCAGGCAGAAGTGTTGAGCTTGTTGAGCATGTTTGGCTGCATCCTGTTTCTGCTAAAAAAAAGTCTCTCTTTAACATGATTAACATTTTTTAATCGTCTCTCATTCTGTCATCTTCTCAGTTAACTCTGAAGTTTTTCATGAATATTAACAGTGGCATCACATTTTAAAAGATGAAACAGTCTTCAGTGGTTTCGTTGGGTCTGATGGTTGGTTTCTGCCTCAGACAACATGATAGTCTGTTCCCATCACTCATTCTCTCTCTCTCTCTAGGAGTTTTTAATCTTCTCCTGCCTTATTCTTGCTCTTGACCACTTGCTGTCCCTCTTGAGTGTACTGTGATACTTTCATTTTTTTTATTTTCCATTTCCAGGCCCTGTGCTCAAATGACAAAAAAGGTGTTTATTGGCTTTTTTAATATAGTCTTCATAATAAGATATTAGTTATGTTTCTTCTGTTTATAGAAGGGATTCTTTTTGTTGTCTTTTTTGTCACCTTTTAAAAAAAATGTAGTTATATTATTTAAAAAATATTTTCTTGTCCACTAGTGTTACTTCCTTTTTTTTGTAATATGCCATATTAAAATCTTTATTTTTCTGATATTACAGATTTACTAAACCAGAGGTTTTTAATCCTAAACCTAGGCACCCACATCAGTGCAAATTTTGTGTATCTTTCTTATTTAACACCTCTGATTCGCATCATCAGAAGAAATCTATGCGAGATACACAAAAATACGCAGTGCTGTGAGTTTCCAGAACCCAGATCGAAAACCTCTGTACTACACCACAAGGCGTTTGGTTTGTGAAGTATGTTATAGTGCTTTCCTTTGATTTAATATAAACAAATAAAACTCTTTACTGGCTCAGACATCTGCTGTGGATTTTCTTTTTTGTGACATCAACGTGCTGGTGTCAGCCATTTTCTCTCCACTTGGTGTCTTTTTACACTAAACCACTAGATGGAGGCAGCGAGACACTTGTGCTGTTCGTAGATTAAGTACTAAAGGAAATGGATGCAGAGAAATGACTTGAAAGGTTGCTCATTTTGAACATAATCAGATAAATATTTTTTAAAATTATATTAAAAATGAAAACGCAAAAAATCACTATGCTAATGAAAGTAGTAAGAACCCCTGACCTAGAAATGCAAATTCTGTCATCATTTACTCCCTCTCATGAGTTCCAAACCATGTTTTGAAAAGTATGAGTAACCAAAAGGTTTTAATGACCATTAACTTTACATTGTAGAAACAAAAAACTGATGACAGAATTTTTGTAGTGTATGCAGCACTTTTTTGTAAAGACTGCATTGCTATTAAAAGCATAAAAAACACTCTTAAAGGGTGAATGAAGGTTTGGATTCCTGTGCATCCAGATGAAATCTCATCTGCTTTGATCTCGTTGATCTACTAGCCTCTGGTATCTGGTAATCCATAGCGTGATGCCATTAGATATTATACAGTGCTGGTACAAACCGATGTGGGCTGGTCCTGTGTAGATTTTTTTAAAAGGTGTGAACAATCTGTCTGGTTCAAATGCAGCAAAGCGTGTAACATGCCTCAGATATGTGGAGAGATGCCCTGGCAAGCCTTTCATTTACTGTGATACAGTACTCACGATAATGGATTTTAAAACACAGGTAGCTTAGTAATAACATGTTGGACAGCAGTGAGAGGAAGAACATAAGAGCATGCTAATCTCTTTCACAGCTGGAATTCACATAAACTCTCAAAAGCCAGCTATCGCTCCCTCCACTCTTGTTTACTGAAGCCAAGCTGAATTTTCTTTCATTTTTGTTTCTTAATTAAAAGGAAGTCAAGATACTGTGGTCAGAACAAACAGTTCTCATCCATGGCCTTTAATAGTTTGTTTATAAGACTATTTGCTGTGTGCTATAGATCTTATTTCAGCTTTTTTTTCTTTTTGTATAGTTGGTATGTTTTGGTTTCCCCCCCTGAGCTTGTTCATTCAGACTGGGTGTTAACTGAGGTTTAGGTAGCAATTACATTATACATGTACCAAAAACGGGGCTGGGGCCCATTAGAGGGCCTATGCAAACTTCCAGGGCAAGTCTTAAAACATAAATCATTTAGTTATATTAAAAACCTTAAAGCTCTATAAGGTAGACATGATTAAAACACACTGGATGTGGGTGACAAAGAGAACTTAAAAGAGTGAACCATATAAAACATCCCTGGAGATTCCGATCTCTGCGCACTAGAACATCTAGGTATAAAAACAGTTTTTTTTCCCCCAATGCCATCTCCAGCTTAAACAGCTAACACATGAATCATTACCTGTGTTCTGTAATTCATTTCCATAATTCATTCTACATCTTTAATTATTGCCTTTTTCTCAAGTATTATGTAAATACATATGGATATCTCTTATTTATACAGTTCTATATAGAGTACAAATGCACAAATCTGTACATAAATCTACTGTTCCAGATTCATACACATTATTTTATGTATACACATTCTTTTTTGTTAAGTCTTACTATTTAAATGTTTTTTTCTGTTCTCATGTCAGGTGTGTATGTATGCATGTGTGTATGTACCAGGAGCACCTGGTAAAAAAAAAAAAAAAAACAACAAATTCCTAGTGTGTTTGCGCACACCTTGCGAATAAAGCTAATTCTGATTCTGATTCTTATACAGTCAAAAGCAAAAAAAAACTGGACGTCAAAGTATAATGTCAGACTCCAGTGTTGGACATGAAACATGAAAATTCTGGTCGACAATAAATTTGACAGAAACTGAATTTCGGTTACTTAACACCACAGCTTAAAACAAAACAACAAAAAAACTTCTGGGAGGCAATCAAAAGAATTCTGAAGAAAATTGAATCACCTCACTCTTTCTGATTATTGACATATTATATTTGTCTTCCAAGTCTCCCTTTGTCAATAAAAAAACAATATTTGAAGACCCTACTATCTAGTATTCTGTTGTAATAGAACAAACTAAAAATAGAATGCCAGTTTAATGCTGTACATCTTTAATTGTGTTTTTTTAGCATTTTAATTAGGATCTGAAACAAAAATTTAGGATCTATGAACATTTCCCCTCTTAATTGCAGCTAGATAAAATACCATTCTAATCTCAAGCAGGGAGTGAGAGAATTAAGATATTAAGAAAATGTTTAGTTACATTGCTAAGTGATGTGATTAATCTAGTCACTTCAAATGGGCCCTCAGAAAAAAAACAATTTCCCTCAGAATGGTGGATACCATCCCTTTGCATGTCCCTTCTTAGCTTAGTGAATGGTTAATTTAGTTATTTTCAAGTTATTTTGTTATTATTTAGGGAGGATGTCCTGCAGACCAGTGACCTCTTGACTGCAGCTGAATGTGATGATGACCACACACTCATCTGCTCAGAGTCTTTCAGTTTCATCTTCTGATAGATGAAATCTAAACAGCTTTAAATCACACATTCAAAGTAACCAGGCAATTTTCTTTCTTACTAACTTTTATATTTTGTTTTTGTAGATAACCACTCACACCTCAACCCTCACTGGGCTTGTTAAATCAGTTCAACCCCTTGGGATGTGTGCTGTAGGGATTTAGCTGAGCTCTTTTGGGAGCTTTTCTTACTTTATACTCACTAATTGCTTTGCCTCATTCTGCACTTAGCTCTCAGCTCTCTGCACTTGGACAGCCCCTTCATCCTCAAGAGCCACATGTTTCTTTTGACTTACAGTCATCTCTGATAATTCCTGATAAATTTGTGCTGCCGCAAATTCCTCATTACTTTTCTGATTTATTAAACATTGAGTAATTATTATCAAGTTGTGTGTGGTGTGATGTGAATATTGTTTATATGGATGAAACTGTTTATATACGACTTTGTGGAATCTCTATTGTCATTAATAACAAAGCTGTATGTCAGTTTGCTGATCCAGGAAACTGAAACCAGCACTACTTTCATGTGTCCTATATCTCTCAGTGGACTCTCTCTTGTTTCATACAAAACCAGCTGATGCCATCTTTCAACTCATTTATCAACTACTGTAAATGACCTTAGAGATCTTCACTACTAATATTACTGTATTATTGTTGCAGTTTTGTACATTGTAATGGACTATTTTTTCTTAGTAAAAACTTAGTAAATAATACACAGGTAAGATTATAAAATAATTTCAACTCAAAATCAATTTTGCATTTCCCCATATTCATTTATTTGGTAAATAGATATGCAGGTTAATTTGCAGTCAGCTGGTCATTATCACAAAATAAACATGATGAGGTTATCAGAAACCCTATGTGAAACGAATCTCTTACAAATTGTTTATTTCTGACTGACTGACAATGTGCTCTGTTTCATTGTTGGCATTATTCAGCTTCTAAGTGACTTCTCTGCATCACAAGTTTGATCATGGCTAATTATTCAGTCTGGCCAGACTAATTTTAAACTTGTTGCAGGGCCCCTGAAATCTGTTTTTTTTTTCCTGATGAATGTCTTGTCCTTGTTAAAAGTCTGGGAGGTAAGTAAGCAAGACCTGATTTACGGTTACTTCCCGGACACACTACAGGTTTCGTCATTCATTTGCCACCCAGTATTATAAACAAAGGGGCGAGAGTCTTTTCCACAGGTCATTCAGACACCCTGTGTGTGGACATGACTGCTCTTTTTCAGACTTCTGTTTCATTCTGAATGTGGTGTGATTGTGGCTGTTAGCTCAACATAAACATACAGTAACAACAGCAAGTCCATCAATAACTTTCTCCAGGGATTTATTTCAAACAGCAACACTCACTGGCATAAATTTATCACATAGTCGTCTGGCTGCTTCTTGGATTACAATGTATTGGTTTAGTGGTAACAGAAATAGCCAACACTGATGCAGGATCAGTTAACAACCACAAAAATAATGCACTGGAAGTGCTTGCAAATGTATATCAACTTTTGATGATAAATACTTAATTTAGGAACTGACATTTGTGGGAAATAAATTGAAAAATTCTTTGAAAATTAAATTGAAAGATTTCTTTCCTATGATAATTAATCTAGTTAATGTCTCTTTTTCGCTTTCACAACAAAACACACAGCGTCTTCACGACATGGCGGAAGCAACAACAATACTACAGTGAGAATAAATGTTACGTCTTCTTTCTTTGCGTGAACATTTGGGCGGTGGTATGCAAATCTTCCCACATCGTGACGTAGACATGTGGGGCGTGTTAGAACGAGCCGTTTTAGGTAGGCGTGGTTGACTCTTAACTTTTATAAAGAATATCTCTTTGGATTTGAGACTTTAGTCTTTGCAACTTTACAGATCTTCTTTATGCACCAAGAGCTTGTAACACTCCAAAGAGAAAGGAAAAATTGAAATCGCATCATATGACCCCTTTAAAGAATTTTACTTTGTTGGTTTGTCAAATTGTGGAAATCCACTTAATTCCATGCTGGCTAATGCAAGCATTCTTACAGGTCTTGTATGTTATGACAAAACAGGCCGATTTAACCCATTAGTGTGATTAAGATACAGCCAACTGAACTGACCGGCATGCTAACAGAGGATTGTCTTGCA